GGTTGTGAAGAACGGAGGATCTCTTATTTTCTATAAGATGATAATTTTTGTTGAAGATTAAAGTTCACATACAGCTTCTTAATTCCTAATCTTTGTAAAACGTCCTTATCAACTTAGATTTTGAACTCATTTAAATTCCGTAGTGCAGACCTCTTAGCGTGCTTCATTTGCACTTGTACATAAGTCTTCTTATAGTATCGGCGTGGCGCATTTCCGTCGTTCATTCGATAGACCATTTTCTTGTAGATGCACAAGATTTTTTTTTGTTCTTGGAAAGTAACTTTTCTTGCTGATTATAGTCATCCTCAACTGTTTCACTTTATATATCCACATAATCAACTGCTACGTAGTTATGATTGTACTGAAATCAACAGCGTTTAGGTTTTTGAGTTGCGAAGTTCGTAAGCGTCGTTGCTTCGCTCATTCGCTAACAATCAAACGTGCTCGAAATGTCAGGAGGGACTGTTATGGATCACATCACGTCTCTTCCTCATCAGAATGAACAAAATGTTATTCGTCATCTAACAAATTTTGGTTCGTCGGTTTTCTTACTTTTAGTCTTTTTATGCAGCAGTTTTCCTTTTCTTAGTAAAAACACCAGCTTCTGGAGATGCGGATATTAAAAAGAAGGAAGAGTCGATCATGGAGCTTGGGAATATGTTAGCCAAGAACAAGCAGACGGAAGAGCTACGCAAGGTTCCCTTTTTGGACATCAAAACATCGAAATCTGATCTTTTCCGGTGCTATCTCGCTTTTCAGATGATTGAACAGACTCGTCCTTTTCTTGTTTCATTGGGGAAGGCTAAAGCTGCAAAACTAGTGAGGAATCTGGTGGATCTTTGCCTTATGATTGATGACCAGGATGGAGATATCAAGGTTTTACTTTTACTCATCAGCCTTTCGATTGTAATTGTTAGGTAGTTTGAAAATGTTTGAGTTTTATCGAGGTTACTCTTTTGTAGATTGAACTTGTTCGCGAATGTATCCAGTGGGCAATGGATCAGAATCGTACCTTTCTCCGTCAAACTCTTGAAGCTCGTCTGATTCGTCTATTCAATGACCTTCACAGATACACAATGGCATTGCCTCTAGGTATTAACATGGTTTTTAATTTTATTTTTGCTCCGCCAAAAATTTCAAGAATAACAGTAGTTGCTGATTTGTTTACAGCTGCTGATCTTATACGTGAGTTGAAGAAATTAGACGATAAGGATGTGCTTGTGGAAGTGGAACTAGAAGAAAGCAAAGCATTTTACCATCTTGGAAATATCGGTAGAGCTCGTGCTGCCCTCACTGGCGCTCGTACCACCGCCAATGCAATCTATGTACAACCGAGAATGCAGGTTTGTCCTCGTCATTCTGATGACATAGCTTTATGTACTTTTTCTATCGTATATTACAAACATGTTGGGTTAATATTGATTAACATATTTTGTCTCGATTTCGTAGGCTTTAGGCATTGCAATCTCTACAATCAAAACTCGTGCAATCACAATCTGCACGAGTTTTGTTACTCCTTGTAGTGCCTGGACATATCGTTTTTAATTGGCTCATTCGCACTTTTCATATGG